AGACTGGACTCCGAGAAACAAACTGAGGGTTTTAGAGGGGAGGGGGTTGGGGGATGGGTTAGCCCAGTGATGGGTATTAAGGAGGGCATGTATTGCATGGAGCACTACCTCAAAAACTAATGATGTACTGTATGGTGACTAACATAATAAATAAATAACATACTGGTAGCTTAACATAATAAAGTTTGAAACTTTCCAGAAGACACAGAATCGGGAACAGATCATTTTCTAAGCACCATATAGGCAGATGACAGGTGGCTAGATAGCATCTAGATTTGTAATCTCAACTATCTAAAAAGCAATGAGATCTTTTAAAAATGGCTTTTACTGATGGCAGCCATCTTACTTTGCATATTTAAGAGGATGTTGTTTTCATACCAAAAGATTTCAAGACTACAACTCCTGTGTCCTTGAAGGAACTTCTCTTATTCTTATTCTAATTCTGTTGCATTATTTTAGCCCTCTTACAAGCTGGTAAGTGCAATAAAGGCACATTTCAACTTCTGAATATCCATTTCATTACCATCACTTGGGAATGAAGCAAGCCCTGCTCACCCTTTCCTGTTACCTTCTAAGAGCAAACTAACTTTCTGGTAGGAACGGCTCCTCTAGGCTAGAGGCCATGAGGCCAGGAAGTCTTGAGAGGGTGATGTGAAAAGGCAGCTCCTCTCTTAGCAATAAAGAGTTGTGTGTGGCCTTGGGTTGTCTGGAGACAAACAATATAAAGTTTACAAGTTTCAAGATACCTCAGGGCATAAAAGCCTTTGTCCCTTTCCTCCTCTCTTGCTCTGGTTTGAATGCATTTCTGAGTCCCTCTAATGCTTAAGGATCCAGTACAGCTCAGGGCAGTGAGAAACAAGGCGTAAGCTGTCTCTCCTTTCCCTCCCCTGTTCTTTTTTTCACACTTCATTGCCTTTAGTTTCTCACATTACAGTATTGCTCTTGTTTGTAATATAAATAGTATTTTAGTTATGTTGAGTTCTGTCATTCCAAAGTTCTAAATTCCAAAAAAAAGGCAATCTATTGGAAATTTTTTGGAATACTGCCTTTTTGTAAGGTGACACCCCACTACCCAAGATTGTTGTAAATCTTTCAGAAGAATCTATAGCATACAAATTAAAAAAAAAAAAATCCCATGCAGTAGGTAGGTCTCATTAACCCAATATAGAAGTTGTAGTCATGCTAACGTTAAGAACTCTTTTTGCCCAGCACTATGCAAAGAGCTTTACTACGTACGTTAGTTCACTGCTTTATGACAACCTCATGTAGAAGGCATTATAATTCCCTCCTGTATTTTTAGGTGAGAGGATATCAGACTGTAAAAGTATTGGTCAAGCAAGCATTTCTGGAGACTGTTTTAAGTGCAGGGCATTGTGCTAGGTACTAAGGATCTAAAGCAGAGACATGATCCTTTCCCTTTCAGGTACTTATGATGCCCTGGGAGACTGGGTTTCCATGAGCTTACAGTAATAGAGGACAGGATGGCAGATGAGTACCCAAACAAACACACAGAACATGTGTCCTGAGCATGTCACGGGGCAAGACCACTATGGGCTGGATACTCAAAGAAAGCTGTTCTTAGAATGCAGTCTCCTTGAGATTGGACTTCGACTTTGAAGAGAGTGGAGAGAAAAGATTTCAGGGAAACAGCCTGTATATTTAAAGCAAAGGGAATATTCTTGGCAATTTTGTGAAATAGCAATTTGAATGGTTGTCTCATGTAGAAGGCATGAGGTCCCTCATTGGCGTCATCAGGGCTCGGGCTAATAACACCCTGGACAGTAGTATAGAGATGGTATGTGAATGCAGTTACCGTTGTTCCCATCCCTCCCCCCTCCGCAAATACCATGCTGACATCGGTGGGCTAATATGAGCTAAAGTTAGAGGGAGAGGGACAGATTAGAACCCAACATGCTAGTATTATGATTCAGTAAGCAATGTTAGTAGCTAACATTTATTGAGTACTTACTCTGTATCAGACCCTATTTCATGTGTTTTTATACGTACTATTTCATTGAATGTTAACAACTCTGTGACGTAGTTTGTAGGTACAGGAACCAAGCAAGTGACAGAGACAAGTCAGTAAGAGGCAGAAGCTAGGATTTGAACGCGGGCAGTCTGCTTCCACAGCCCTCCATGCTCCACACAGCAATGTTTCTAGAATTTTTCACTTAAAGAAATGTTCCTAAGTGGTACTGACACGGTCTCAAAACTTGCCATTTCTATCGTGAACAGACACGTGTTTATGCATACCGCTCTCCCCTATGGGTTGTCCAGAAGAAAGTGGAAAGCAAAAGCAGTTTGGTTTCTTACTAGAACAGCCCTAACCTTTTTGATAGCAGTTTGTGAACATTAAGAACCACCTGTGGAAGAAGGCTGGCTCCCATGAGCAGCTGCTGAGGAGGAGCTGTGTGAAGGTGCTGTGACTGAGGAGGATGGTGGGAGCTGCCTGGGGAAGGGGTTGATTCCAGGCTGTGGACCAGCAAGTCTGAGGAGACCCGCAGCCCTTTTGGAGAAGGGTCCGGGCAGAAGGTGAAGCAGAAATGTTGACTGCAGGGGAGTTTTGAAAGTAAATGAAACGAGCACTCAGTTCTGAATAAGAGGCTAAGCGGCATGACAAGTGACAGGAAGTGACGTTTCTTCCACTGGGAGACAAAGTGGACTCCCTGCTCGAGTCCGAGAGGTCCAGCCTCACCTTTCCTCGAGGCCTTCGGATCCACCTCCACTACAGCCATCCCACACGGACCTTTTGTCTACCTCCACTCTCATGTAAACAAGGCTCAGCATCCCAACCAGACTGTCCCTTCAATTCTGAATCTAAGCCTTGTTGACATAAGTACTTTCATTTTTCAGACTACAGTCCTCATCAAGAGCTGATTATATTTATAAGACAGTTATGAAAACAAATTGAAACGTGGACTGAAGTAAATCACGGAGTAAAGGAGACAGACAGTGGACATTTGAAGACTTAAAATCATTAAAAAAGGAGCACAACCAACCTAACCAAAGAGGCAAAGGATCTGTACTCTGAAAACTGTAGAACACTTATGAAAGAAATTGAGGAAGACACAAAGAAATGGAAAAAACATTCCATGTTCATGGATTGGAAGAACAAATATTGTGAAAATATCTATGCTACCCAGCACAATCTACACATTCAATGCAATCTCTTTAAAAATACCATCAACGTTTTTCCACAGAGTTGGAACAAACAATCCTAAATTTGTATGGAACCAGAAGAGATCCCAAATAGCCAAAGGAATGTTGAAAAAGAAAACCAAAGCTGGTAGCATCACAATTCCGGACTTCAAGCTCTATTACAAAGCTGTAATCATCAAGACAATATGGTACTGGCACAAACACACACACACACACACACAGATCAGTGGAACAAAATAGAGAAGCCAAAAATGGATCCTCAGCTCTACGGTCAACTAATCTTCGACAAAGCAGGAAAGAATATCCAATGGAAAAAAGACAGTCTCTTCAACCGATGGTGTTGGGAAAATTGGACAGCCACATGCAGAAGAATGAAACTGGACTCTCTTACACCATACACAAAAATAAACTCAGAATGGATGAAAGACCTAAATGTGAGACAGGAATCCATCAAAATCCTAGGGGAAAACACAGGCAACAACCCCTGTGACCTCGGCCACAGCAACTTCTTGGTAGATACGTCTCCAAAGGTAAGGGAAACAAAAGCAAAACTGAACTATTGGGACTTCATCAAGATAAAAAGCTTTTGCACAGCAAAGGAAACAGTCGACAAAACTAAAAGACAACCAACAGAATGGGAGAAGATATTTGCAAAATGTCTTATCAGATAAAGGGTTAGTATCCAAAAATCTATAAAAAAAAATATCAAACTCAACACCCAAAAACAAAAAAAATCCAGCAAATAGGCAGAAGACATGAACAGACATTTCTCCAAAGAAGATATACAAATGGCCACCAGACACATGAAAACAAAAAAAGTTCTATATCACTCAGCATCAGGGAAATACAAATCAAAACCACAGTGAGATAGCACCTCACACCAGTCAGAATGGCTAAAATTAACTCAGGAAGCAACAGATGTTGGCCAGGATGCAGAGAAAGAGGAACCCTTTTATGCCACTGGTGAGAATGCAAACTGGTGCAGCCACTCTGGGAAACAGTATGGAGGTTCCTCAAAAAGTTAAAAATAGAATTATCCTATGACCCAGAGATTGTACTACTAGGTATTTATCCAAAGGATACAAACACAGTGATGCAAAGGGGCACATGCACCCCAATGTTTATAGCAGCAATGTTCACAAGAGCCAAACTATGGAAAGAGCCCAGATGTCCATTGACAGATGAATGGATAAAGAAGATGTGGTATAGATATACAATGGAATATTACTCGGCCATCAAAAAGAATGAAATCTTGCCATTTGCAATGACGTGGATGGAACTAGAGGGTATTATGCTAAGTGAACTAAGTCAGAGAAAGACAAATATATGATTTCACTCATACGGAATTAAGAAAGGGAAGGAAAAATAAAAACAGAGACTCTTAACTCTAGGAAACAAACTGAGGGTTGCTGGAGGGGAGGTGGGTAAGGGCACTTGGTGGAATGAGCACTGGGTGTTATATGCAACTAATGAATCTTTAAATTCTACCTCAGAAACTAATTGTACACTATATGTTAAATTGAATTTAAATTAAAATTTATTTCTATCTCAAACCTGACTTAATGTGCTTATCAGTCCTAGAATGGCAAGTTACTGTTTCTATGAAGATAATTTCTTTCTAAAGGTCTTTGCGCTAATTAGCAAGCAAATAAAAAACTAAAAATGACTGGAAAATATTGAGTCAAATGCCTAGGAACACCAGTATGTATAGCCCTTGCTTGTTCACGGTGGCTCACTCTGTCCTGATTTTTTTCCTGGTTTTGGTTCTGCCTTGTCGTTTGAATCAGCCTTATTGCCCCCATTGATCCTTAGTCCATATTTTTATCTTTTCCAAAACCTAGGTAAGAACCTCGACGCTGTCCACGACATCACGGTGGCGTACCCGCACAATATTCCTCAGACAGAGAAGCACCTCCTCCTCGGGGACTTCCCCAAGGAGATCCACTTCCACGTGCACCGGTACCCGGTAGACACCCTCCCTGAGTCCAGGGAGGACCTCCAGCTCTGGTGCCACAGGCGCTGGGAGGAAAAGGAAGAGAGGCTGCGCTCCTTCTACCAAGGGGAGAAGAATTTTCAGTTTACTGGAGAGACTGTAATTCCACCTTGCAAGTCTGAGCTCAGGGTCCTTGTGCTCAAATTGCTCTCCATACTTTACTGGACCCTGTTCAGCCCTGCAATGTGCCTACTCCTATATCTGTACAGTCCTGTTCGGTGGTATTTTATAATCACCATGGTTATCTTTGTGCTGTTAGAGAGAGTATTTGGTGGACTGGAGATGGTTGAACTTGCGTGTTACCGGTTTTTGCACAAACAGCCACATTTAAATGTACGGAAAAATGAGTGAGATCATAAGGTTCACAGTGTAACAACCAAGGGGATGTTTTGGAAATGTGTTGAGCCTTTGTAAACAGAGATGCATTTTTGCATGACTATGTCAAATATTTCTACTACCATCATTATTTGTTAAAGATATTTTGCACTTAGTTTTGTGGGAAAATATTGCTACACACAATTTTTTTTTTTTAATCTCTGAATGTAATTTCAATACGCATAGCAGGGAGCGATTGCTATAAAATAACTCGGGCCAGAGTATTCCTAAGCAACCACCAGACTGTTAGCAGACAAGGAACACACAAGATTTTCCTAGAGGCCCAATCCTATTTCCTAACAAACTCCCCAGACAAGAGGCACATCCGGGGCTTGGGAGCACGGGCTCAGATCAAGTGCTGGCACTTGACTGTGGAGGTGAGAGCCCTTCCTCCCGGTTCCCTCCCCAGGCTCATTTCTCTGCCAATCAAACCACTGCATCCTTCCTTAAGGCCAGGAAACGGAAATCCCTGTCCTTCAACCAACCACCCATTTTGATAGGAAGCCCTTCATTATTCATAAAACCTTAGCATTCAGCCTTGAACTCACCGAGACATCAGAAGACCACCTGTGCCCTTTCTTCCCATGGATAGTAAGACCTGGACGTTTCTCAGGGAGCAACCACAGGCTCTCCACTTGGAAACCTTAGTTTGGATTTGTACAGATAGGAACGCAGAGAGTTTAGTTGACTTCTACTTACTCTTGCATGCTCCCAGCTGGTTTCCTTACCGCTCGTTGGCAGGGGTAGCTTTTTCCGCGTGACATTATGTCACTTACCTTTCTAAAGGAATGCGTGGAAGGTCCTGTTACTGCAGTCAGAAATTCTTGAAGTGGTGTCCTTTGAAATAGTTCTTTAAAACCTGCCCCAAAAGGAAGGTTATTGTATTTTCTGTAGGTGCATGGGTATCTAACATGTGTTAAAGCAACACCGGCAGCACTCGGCCCTCGCAGCCTCACAGATTTGATAACAGGAAAATGAACGCCTTTTTAATGATAATGAGGGCTCTTGCTCTCTTTTTAGTCCCAGCCTTCCTGTTTCAGTACTAAAATTTAAATCCACTTTTGACCAATTGTTTGCCTAAATATTCCTGGCATTTGGAGTCCATGGAAAATCCAGCAAACCAACAGCACCAGTCTCCTTCTGAGGTGGAAGAAATGCGTGGTCATGGTTTCCACCCCGCTGGAGCTGTGCACTAATGTTTCTGTCCTATGATGGGGACGCTGGTCAGAGCGGCAGGAAACACGAAGCAGTTAAAAGTCTTGAGCTGTTCGGAGACCTGTCTGCTTTATTCCTGCCTTCAACTGGCCTCAAAAGCTATTGCTATATGTACCCTTTTGGCATGAATGCCTTCTCCTTAATTACAACCCATTTTTGCTCAACGGTGACTTTTACCCAACAGTTGAAACGTGCATTGCCAGGAGAGATAAGCACACTGTGAGCCGAACTTACAGAGAAGGTCCAGGTTGCGCGCAGAACACCGTCCACACGACACTAACGAGCGCGCACGGGCAGGCACCAGCCTGTATTTAACCGCTCCCCCCAGGCCGTTTCCACGCCTGCCAGGAGCTACTCAGTAGTTATTACGCACATCTGCTCCAGACCCAGTGGGCTAATCCCGTGGTTTTTAAGGTGTTTTTCTTTTTTAACCTTTTTTTTTTTCCTGAATAAAAGAGGTTTCTAATTGAGGTCTCTCTCAGACCGCCTTTTGGTTATATCTGGAAACACAGAGTTTTACAGTCAGCCCTGCATTTGTCCTGGGCAATGGAGAAAAGCCGTGTCGTCTACTCCACACGTGTTTATACTGGAGCCCACCTGGCCGCTTCTCGGCTCCTTGTTCGAGGTGTAACCTCCATTGGATGGCGTGAAACCTGTACAAGAGGAAAGCTCTTTTCTTTCCTTTTTAAAAAAAATGTTTTCTTTGGATCATAAAAGACATGTTTAAGATAAAATGCAAACTTTGTTTACTACCCAAAATTCATATGTACCCAGACTTGGGAATACAGACATCGTACCTGCTTTCAGAATCAAAAGTGATAACTTCAAAGAGAAAAAAGTTGCTTCTTTTTGTTTTTTTTTTCTGGTTTTGTTTTTTGGGGTCTTGTGTTTTTGCAGTAAGGCTTCTTTTAAAGTCGTAATTCTTTATGTTCCTACATATTTGCCTTTTTCTTTTAAAAAATTTTAAAGAAATATTCAGCAAATGATTTGGAACTTAGAGCTTTGTAAAATTGGTAAAAAAAAAAATGTTAAGTAGAAATTAACTTTCATGTTGTGATCCGCTTCAGGAATGAGACCTCCACCCCCTCCCACCTCATCTCTCTGCACTCAGAGCAGCTGCATGTGCTGCTGAGTCTAGCCCACGCTTCCCACTGGATGCTCTTTCAGTCCTTTGAAGATCAGCTCAGTGGGCTGCAAAACGTTTACAGTACCATCTCTCCAACTGTTCAGTCTTTACCATTCAGAAACGTTGTAAACAAAGCAAATGTGGTTTGTATGGGATGTGAACCATTATGCTTAAAATAGGAAACTACGGGGAAGGGCACTGATGTGGTCACAGGTTCTTCCACCAGAAAGCTCTGATGAGAGGCCTAAATCAGTAGACGAACGTGGTAAAGGACCAGAGGAAAATGTTAAGCAGAGCCCATAATTTCAAACTCCTATTAAAGTCCTTCCTTGTTTGTAACACTACTAACACACAGATTAGGGAGAAATACCAGCTTCCACTCGCATCACTTTGACATTAGTCACTTCCCCGCACAACGTCAGGAGCTGGACGTTGGAGGCCAAGACTGAATTCTGCAGAAAGGGTGACATGCCCATTGCACCTGGCCTGCAGGCTCTGGGCCCAACCGTGATGCGCCTGTGCACTTTTATAATAGACACTCAAATGGAGGGAGCCTGTTGGTATTAAATTGTTTACATTTCTTTGTATAAATAACGTGCTTTCAGTGCCTTAGTTATGGGTCCCTTTCTTTTTCTTGTTCCAAGAATTCTACAATGTGTTTCTTAGGTAAAAGTCTTTTTGCTATTGACTGGGAGGAAAATAGTTTGTAAACACTGGTCACTGTGGTAAACACTACTTTGTGGGGACATCTGGAGAGGAGAGCTTGATGCTGAGGTAGCCTTTGCCTTAGAGCTATTATTTATGCTGTAGGAAACAAACACGGTCTTGTCACACGATGAGCTTCAGATTGGAGATGGCCCAAAAGTTGTCTTGTACCAACCTTAAGCTTTTATTTCAGAAGAGAATCTCGGTTTTGGTAATTTATTTTTTAAAAGATTATGTACAAAACAAATTTTAAAAATAACTCACAGAATGGCCTTAGTTTTCAATGTCCACTAGTATGTTTACGAGTTGTGTTATCTGTAATTTACATCCCAGAATAAAGTGGTATGAATCAGATCGAGTTTGCCCATGTATCCTGTTTCTGGTTTTGCCCGAATGACTGTGTGCTCCTGTGTTTTCCCATATTGTTACAGCCTTACTGTATGTAGTATTAAGGAAGAGCTCATCAGTTAGGACTCTTTCACAGATGTTTAAAAAAAAAACAAATGCACACAGAAAAAGGGAATATGCTGCTTCCATAATTGAAAAAGTCTAGGGGCCACAGTTGAATTCAGGCCTCAGTGAATGTCATGAGAACTTGGTTTTCTTCCATTTCTGTCAATTCAGCCCTGAGGGCAATTTGGTCATTTCACACTTGTGGGGTTGTAATGGCAAATACCAGCACCACCAGATTTAAGAGGTAAATGGAACTCTATGCATCCCCCATCACTGTTAGGGAGTATGTAACTGTGAAAGCAAATCTTCTAGCAAAGCTTGACAGATGCATGAAAATGTGCTTAGCAAATACATACACACGCATGCACATGAAAATCATGGAACTGAAGGGTAGCAGAATATGCCACCCCAAAATATGACTAGTTAAGCACGTGCCACCCAAAATAGACCACGTTGGTATATTGGTTTTGAGCTGTAGGCACTTGAAAAGCAGCAACTGGAGGGAAAGGCTTTCTCTGAACTGCCCTCATCTGCCTGAAGACCAGTTCTCCAAAAAGACTCAATGGCCATATTATGCTAAACGAAATAAGTCAATCAGGACAATTATCATATGATCCCATTGATATGTGGAGTTTAAGAAACAAAGCAGGTGATCATCGGGGAAGAGGGGAAAAAAACAAGATGAAACCAGAGAGGGAGACAAACCATAAGAGACTCTTAATCACAGGAAACAAACTGAGGGTTGCTGGAGGGAATGGGGTAACTGGGTGATGGGCATTAAGGAGGGCATGTGATATAATGAGCACTGGGTATTATATAAGACTGATGAATCAGTCACAGGCCTGTACCTCTGAAACCAATAATATATGTTAATTAATTGAATTTAAATAAAAAAATGTTTAAAAAAAAAAAGACTCAATGACCATAAATTCCTTCCCTGGGAGTTTCATCAACCAGCGAGGATAGAGTCCTGTCCCAGGAGAGAAGATAAAAATCAACACCACACCCAGATAAATGTCACAAAGCATCATACTTCCCATCTGTTCTTCTAAGGGCCAGTTCATCTTTCCTCAAAGTCATTTACTCTCCCCTAAGAGGCCTCCCTCCCCTCTCCCTTCCCAAGGAAGGTGTTTTCTAATCCTGAATTCTAAACCACCTCTGGGAGTTACTCATTTTTCCTTGGCTATCTCTATGTATACCTGAGGAATACATGTTAATAAATTTCTGATTGTCTTCCTCTTGTTAATCTTTTATTACCAGGGTCTCAGCTACAAGAACTCAGAAGGGTAGAGGGAAAATTATTTCTCCTCCCCTGCAGAATCTATCTTTGTATGCTCTGCCATCCCCCCAACTCTGTCTTCAGGTTCTACAAGCACTTTGCTTGAAGGATTCACTCTGAGGGGAGCCCACAATGTCCTTCTCTGGGAAAGGAGCACGCAGGGCCCAAGGAGCCCAGGCCATGAGTGCTGGCTTCAAAGACTGGGCCAGGAGGCTGGTGGGATTTCTATACTCTGTTTATGCAAAGGGGAGAGAGGAGAGCATAGTCTCTGTAGATGCCCACTTGTCTTCCACATTGCTCACGTCACTGATAAATTGTAGAAAGGGTTTAAGAAACTCCCTGTGAAGTGTGGCTTTCTGATGCATTTCAAATGCCAGCTAGTAAGCCCTAGGATGTGCAGAGAAGCTTATCTACACATGTGCAATGCACTCTTCATGCCAAAACATTTTAAAAATAAATTACAAAGAGGCAATCTACGCTCTCCTGGCTGTTTGACTTGGTTCACAGGGTCCCCATGATGATTTGATGCCTGCAGTTGCTTCATCCCTATACCTTCTCAGGTGCAACCCCAGTGGGAAAGAGCCAAGGAAGGGGACCGTTTTTTCCCCAGTGGCTCAACAAAAACCCTAAACTGGGTTTCGGTGCTCATTCCTGAACCACGTACTTGCCCAGAAATACTATGTGGGTTGTGTCCCTGGTTGTTTGCCACCTCCTTCCTGGAGCAGGGATGGAGTTTGTTCCCTGGTCCCTGGGACCAGTGTTGAGGAAGGACAGATTTGAAGAGGACTGT